CTTATATGAATTGTCAGGTAGACTTAATCAGGGTTGTGTTATTGGACCCTTGAACCTTTTTTTAAAGTTATTTGAGTTATTTCTGAAAATTTGAAAATATTCTGCCTATATCGCCTATATAGATGATGTTTTAATATATTTAGATTAGATTTCGTGACTCAGAGTTTGAAAGTGAAAAAAATGTCACAATATTTCTTTTATTACTCATGTAAAGAACGAAAATTGATTTTTTTTTCCTCAAGCAGTTACAGCAATTTTCTCTAAACGAGTTCCTCAAATCAGTAACATTTCTTCAAAATATTTTTCATGTCTTTAAGTTATGAATAAAAATTGAAAAGAGAGAGAGGAAAATATAGAAGGAGAGAGAGAAAGAGAGAGAAGAAAAATTTTAATGCTACAATAACAACAGAACGAGATTTGCGTCTGTGATGATTTAATTAACTTTTTTTAATACTCTATCGCGTTGAAATTCAATCTTCAAAATTTTTTGCCCCTTGAAAATTGAGGAAATAAATTCTTCTTGTAGAACATCGAATGTATTTTGGCGTGGGGTGGGGTGTAGGACCTGCCAACTATGACTACTTGAAAATGTAAAAAAGAAGTCGCTTATAAATGATGCTCAACAAGAAATAGATTGAATTGTTACAGTCTTCAGTAGGTTTATTTATAGTTGCATAACCTAGATGTCCCTAGGCTACGCCTTTCCTTAAAAGAAACTGCTGGAAATTCAGGTCTTTATACCACTAGTATTTCTTTTCCTCCTCTAATTACTAACCATCATAGCCAAACGAGCTACAAAAAGAGATGAGATTAGAAATAAAAAAGTGAAAGCAGGGAATGTCGCGCGAATGAGTAAGACAATTTAATATATTAGTAGGGCAATAAATCTGGTATAATGTTTCGGCAAAATGTTTAAGAAAATTAAATGACTTTCAAGTCGAATACTCGTACACACAAATACAATAAAGACGATGCGATAATGGCTCCCTTGTTACAATTTTCTGTGAAACGACGCTTTTCTTCTTTTGTAAACTTTATATATTCTACAATGGAGGAAGATGATTTAAAGACAAAACGTTTTAAGGAATGTGCAAAATTGTATCTTGGGATGTTTGAGAATATAGGCGCATTTTGTCATTTGAAGAACTGTTTTCTGTATCGAAGCATAAGGTACTAGTAATAAAACATGTAAAGTTCATTCGATTTGTATTGATGTACATCAAAAGTCAACATTAGTCAGCTCTGTTTTCTAAATATAGCAACCGTCGTATGCAGACCAATATGTTCTAATAAATACTAGTATTATGAACTTAAACTTATCACATATGATGGCATGAAATTCAAACAAAAAAATATTAAACATTCATAGATATGGTTCCTGTTTTAGATAATGATTATATTGGTCCTAATCTTTATTAATACAAAGAAGACATCTCGTCACATCTGTCTTCCAATTCTTCACTCAAAAAAAAAATCACAAACCACACTTCATTTGAGTAAAAAAACTGCACGCGAAATCTAATAAATTGTATCCTTATTGAATAAACATAAAAAGTTGTATGAAAACGGAAAGGAAAGAAAAAACTGTAAACGAGAATAGCATTAATCTCCATTTTTGCTGCTTAATTGTGTGCGATAATCGAATAAAGCAAGATGTCAAGTGGATAAAAATGGAGGCATGAAAAAACAAATAAAAACAGAAGAAAAATGTTTTTCTGGCGTGAATAAAGTCATTGAAATATTAAGCTGTTTATATCCTCATATATAATAGAGGCTAGTTGCAGGGGAGGAGTAAAACAGGAAATTTCCATAAATTCACTCGACCATGAGCTTTGTGACGTAAAGTTTTCAATGCGTTTTTTCAAATGAATAAGATGCTAATATTTGAGTTTTGTCGGTCTGTCTAAACGAAATGTTTGTTTACCATGCCGTCATTCAATTTAAATTAAATTGTATCTGACAGTTATTTTTCAAATTTTTATTACTGTATTTTCTAAATGTTATTTGTTTTCTTATGCTTTCTCGGTTATTTTCGCTTGATCATTAAGAGAGTATAAAACGATTTCTAAAAATATGGAATTGGAATGAATCTCAACAAAAAAAATTAATCTAATAAAATGTAATGATGATTACCGTTAGTAATGGTGCTTTGGATATCGTTTGAAATGGTCTTATTGAATTTCAATTATTAAAATTGTGTAATGGAGTTTTCACTTCTATTACAGCTTTAAATGTTGGTTGTAAACAGTTTTATGCAATAAAATCTACCAAAGCTCAGTTGCTGTATATTTAATTTCACTTTCATCTAATTCCGGTCTGTAAATATTTGGACACGGAAATTTTCATTGATCTAGAAAAAATTTGTTATTTTTAACTTTAGGCTGTTTGCAACATAAAACATAATAATAATAATAAACAGAGTTAGATATTTTGGGATATTTTTTCTTCATCTTGTTGTTTCATCAATTTTTAATCGAATAATATAATAGCTACTCTAAATTTAACCATTTTTTTGTGTATTTATTTAGATGATTTTATAATGAAACCCGTTAAAAATGAGTAATTCAAGGATTTTATTAATGTTATGTTTGAATGAAACAGTTAAATATTAAATTATTTACAGTTGGATGAAACAAAGAGACTTTCGAAATTCAAATAAAACAAAACACGATTTGAATTATATTTTACTTTTATTCTAGTATCAAAACTTTTTAATTTTTTTTTCCACAGCAAAAACATTTTTTTTTTAATTTTGAAGAATAAATTAAGTACAAAAGTATACATCAATAAAAGTTTATAATAAAATATAAAGTAAAATGAATTTTCATGAAAAAAGTAATATCAAATCAGCTAAGCTCAGACAGCTTGCAAGGAAAATGTTTGCATGATCAAAGCTAATAATTACTTTAAGTTGAGCTGTAAAAATAAGCAAAACTTTGTTTATTTCATGTATAATTGTTAATATTACAGCTAAGAACTTAATGCATTAACACAAATTTTTTACCAAGTACAAAATCCCAAAAATTACACAAAAATGCAATTATTCCATTTCAACTAATCACAGCCAAACTTTCTTTTTAAAACTCGTTCCATAAATTTCATCGTAATGAAGCAGTTTTTTCCGTTTCCATAAGGACATTACGAGCATGTTTAAATGGTGCCTATAAATAAACTGCAATTTAAAGGGTTCTTGAGAGCATTAAACTCAAAAAAAACTTTTATGCTCATTTAATTTATTTTCTTTTATTTATTTAAAATAATTTCGACCATTATTTCGTTTAATTTTGTTTCATTACAAATTTTGAACTGTTTGAAAGTGCTCTATCATGTCATATATTCTCGGGCATTTTCTCCTGTTATTCATGCAGTAAAAAACTGCTAAAAAATCCATATTTCAAGAAGGTAAAGGCAGTATATTTTTTGTTTTTGAAAATGGACATAAACAACACAAAAAAGTTTTTAGACATGTATGAAATCAAATGAAACCTCGATGGTAGGCGAATAATCTCGAAAGAGAACAAAATAAAAAAAAATGTTTAATTTTTTTATGTCCTTTAAAGTACATCTCATTCAGACATACTCGCAACCGATTAACAATGTCATAGAATGTAAAAACTACTGCGAGTAAAAAATATGTTGAAGGAATGAAATTAAAAGGATGATGAAAAAGCAAGGCACACACAAAGCGACAAATCTGGTGGTGGATGAGGGAAGAAGATGAAAAAAAAAGTCATTAAAATGTTTCCATAAATGAAAATAGCATTACATACAAAATTATTACATCGGACAAACAACAAGCAAAGAGATGTATTTTTTTATATTCACACCGTTTTCACGTGTGAATCTATTGGTTTTGTTCAGATTGAAAAATCAGTTTTTCGCATTTTGTGAGAAAACAAAGCAAAATTGGTTATAAAAGGTCACAAAAGAAAAGTTTGTGCCTGAAATTTTACATCATTTTCAAAAAACAGATTTCAAATTGGTTGTGGCATGGCTGAGAAAATACGCTTTCTGTAAGCAAACAAGCAAGCAAGTTAATCAGCAAGAAATCTCAATAACGAGGCATCGTAGAGACTTCTAGTTTTTTTACATTTGATCCGTGCTGCTCTATAGAAGAGCTGTATTGTTTTTGGGCAAGGCAGGAACAGCCGTTGCTTCAGAAATAGAAAAAAACTTTCCTTTCTTACGAATTTTTTAAAACAAAAGTTTACTGTGATTTTTATAAAATTCAACTTTGGATGAAAATTTTTTTTAAAAAACCTTTAAAGAATGAATGACTCGCTAGCTTTATATCTTCAAACTTATGCTGAGCGAAGCTTAGTTGACTTTTCAAGCTTCTTACTTTCATACTTATAATGGGCAAATCTTGGTCTATCCATAAGACTTATGATAGTACGGTGTGAATATAATCCGCATTGGGTTTCTACCCGATACACTAGTTGTATTAGACAAGTAAATCCATCAGTGAAACCATATGATATAAAATAAGAAGAAGTTAAAATGACATTGAGGATTAATAGAGCGCATAATGTTACTTGAGAAACCTGAAACCTACTTGTACAGATCATGCTGCCTAATTCAAAAATGGTCAAAAAATTAATAACAATCATAACATTCTTTAAAATTTACACAAAACATAACGGTAAAGCACACAAAAAACTAGTTAATTCATTACTCCAAAAAATCTTTTGGATCAGAAACTTGATAGCGAGGTTTATTTCTTTAGACTGCTTTAGACAATAAGCCACAGTATAAACTTTCATGCCCGTGTATATTTTGAAATCAACGACAGACATGAATAAAAAATTCATTCAAACATGTACATGATAGTAGCGCATGGCGATGCATTAATGATTTGCATAAACATTTCAAAGTCATTTTTCAAACCATATTTTTGCACATTCATTCATTTTTTCTTCCTTTTTTATCTTTTTTATACTCTCTCGGGACTGTCGACGACGATGATGACGATGATAAAAAAAAATTGTTCATTCAAACAGAAGCTGAAAAACGTCCAGTGAAAAAAATTGTTGCACGAGCTGGAACAAATTTGACGCTGCCATGCGACGCACTCAATGAAAAATCTATTTCGAGAATTGAAAAATTAACCTGGAAATTGAGCCAGACAATAATAGTCAAATATACTGACGGAAAGCCATTAGAGCATCAGAATAGGAGGGTAAGTGTAGTTTTGTTGGAACTGATAATGCCTTCTCTAGCTCTGTTGACAGAAAGCAAGCATTTCTAACAAATTTCCATTTTTTACTCCAACAGAGATTTCTGAACGCAAAAAATTTCAGTCTACATTTGCATTCAGTTCAATTGAGTGACCGAGGAGACTACACATGCCATGTAAATGAGAAATCAGCAACTGATGTTGTAGATTTAATTGTACATGCTATCCCGGAGCCACCTAATCGCCCGATGATAACGAGCTTTACATCACGAACTGTTAATTTATCTTGGTCGATGATTCAAGATCCTAAAAATGAACAAGTTGTGGATTTTATATTGGAAACGAGGTAAGATTTATGGATTATGGTAAAATTTTAAAATTGCTTTTTTCTTGAATTGAATATGACTGACTATTTCATGTGAATTGGTCAAAACTTAAAATTTTGTGTTCCAATTTTCGGATACTTATACCTTCCCACTTCAGACATATTATGCATAAAACTAAGGATTAAATTTTCATCAGCAGAAATATTTCAACGCCTAAATTTATATTTGAATTCCAATTATAATCCAAAAGTACAATCCACCTACCTTCCTATCCTAGCTTCAGTAAAACTTTATTTACCATACAGTTCATGCAGCAGCTTATCTTATCTTAACTTTTGTCATAACTAGAAATGTTGATTATGTTGATGCGTTGACATCCAAAAAGATTTGATTGATTTTGTCTTTACAGACAGATTGGTTTTGTTCTTAACAGACAGATTAATCCCTGTAACTCTGTTCAGTTGCACGACTCAGGGTATATTAATACAAAGTACCTAGGCAAAAAGTGAGCATCGCGAAAAAAGTGATAAAACACCTTAAAAATCTGACTTGACATTTCTTGAGATCGCTCACAAAATCTTCTGGAACTCAACGTTCATGTATAACAGACTCATGTACAAATGTTATTTCATGTCGTTAATGAATATGTTTATCATTGTGTATTTCATGAACTATTGAAATGTATAACTTTAGAATGAGGTTATGCCAAAATTAAATAAACTTTCATTCAACGTTGTGATATTTCCTTTGAAGGCCATTAAAAAATTAGTATAAAAGAAGAGAGCATGTCTAAATAAATTAGTCTCCTTTTTACTATCAATAGATCAAGAAATTCTTGCTTTAAATATATATATATAAACTTCACCATTATAAGTTGCGCAACACTGCTGCTGTTAACATATGTAAGATTTTTCCTCAAAAAAAGAAATATGGAGTACCACAGAGAGCAGTGAGCCGATAGGGTTGGTTCGTCAACACACTTCGCCACTTCTCTCTTTTCACTGCTTGGCATAATAGATTGATTTTTAATGTTTTTTTAAAACCTAAGTAGGTTGAAGATGTGAATACAAAAAAGTTGTGGTTTAATATTTTTGAATGCATTGAAAAACTTTTGCTCTGCATTGCAATTTGTGTTGTCATAACATAATTTCGTGATGTCCTGAATCGGAGCTTAATTACTTTTAAAGTGGTTTTTACCAATTGCCAAGCCACTCAATCTTTTTGTAAAAAATTATATTTCCTCGCAATTTTCTGTAATTTTTTTATTCTGTTGGATTTTTATGGGTCAAATTTTTTCCTATTAAATGTGAATGACTTTATTTTCTCATCCTCACCACCCACATTCTCTCTTTCTCTCGTGTTGAGATGAGAGCATTTTTTAAAGAATGTGATGAAGAATTTTTTTGGATCATTAGTGAGGAATTTTGTTCAATAATCTAAAAAAAGTAGTTAATAGCTAGGGATTTCAATACCGGCCCAAAATTTCAATCCCGGAATTACGGTATTGTAAATTGTTGATCCCGGGATCCCGGGTTTAAACCCGGTATTAGATTCGGTTCAGAAACTACGGTATAAAATTGCGTTTAACATGTTCAAAATAAGAGATTTCAATTCCAATCAGGTGTATTAGTCATTGAAAATTTTTTTGAATTAAAAACTAAGCCAGAAAGTTAAAGTTTTTCCAAATGTATCCAATATTTCCTTTTCTTGTCTTATCTGAACTTTTTAACTTTACAATTAAAGCTTTTGTTTTTACAAAGATTATCTTTTAACTTTACATATCGAAAATTATTTAAAATTTTAAAAATTGGAAAAAAATTTTTTTTTTTTGCAAGCTTTTATGATTTTTTGTCAAAACTTTTAAAACTTTTGCTTTAATTTTTAATTCAAATAATAGATTTTATCGAAGCTTTATTACAGATGCATTCGAATGATCATAAAATCTATTTAAAATTCAAATTTTTTAAAAAATTTGGAAATTTCAATGGGCATTTGACAACACTAATTTCAAACATTTTAAAAAAAATTTGAAAAGAAAACTGTAAGTTAAAAAGAATTTTTAAATTATTTGGTAAAAACTTACTGTAAAATAATGATCTCAGTAATCTGAGAAAATAAATAAATCAGTTGAAATATACGAACAAAAACATAGAGACGTGTTTCTTTGAAAATCAAAAATAAAACATGGCGCAGTCGTATAAAAGTTTAGAGGAATTCAATTTTGAAGCTCCTTCGTCAAAAATTGAATGGGAACGATTTTCAACAGAATTCAACTTTTATCTAATTGTTAACGAACTTGATGAAAAATCCGACAAGATCAAACTTAATTTATTAACACTTTTGATGGGATATAAGTCAGTGGACATCATCAAGAATCTACCATTAACGGATCCAGAGAAGCAGAATTATGAAAAAGTGTTTGAGGCTCTCAAAAATCATTTTTCACCGTCATCAAACTTTCTTATTGAAAGAATGAAACTACGTGGCTGTATTCAAAAGGAATATGAATCAGTCGATCAGCTCCTTAGGGGCGTTCAAACCCAAGCTGAAAGCTGTGAATTTAATCAATTCAAAGAAGAAGCCACATCAAATTCTTTTCGGTCTGCACAACAACAATTTGCGAGAAAAGCTCATTTTATCTCAAGAAAAGTCATTGCATACTTTGATCAGCAAAATCAAAATATATTATTACAATCAGCAACAATTAGCCCAAATAGCATCAGACAGTATCAATGTAATTCAACTATCAGCAGTGCACCAACGTATCCTCAATAAACAAACGTCGAATAAAAGTGAAAAAGCTCAAGATAAAAGCAACAGCGTTGAGAATTTAAAAGGCAAAAAGAGGAAGGAGAAGGTCTGTGCAGTTGAAGAACGCGAAAACTGTAAGTCTAATGTTATAGTCAATTGTAATGAACTTAAGGAACATGCAGAAAGCAATGTTTGGTGTAAAAAGTTACTCGTGCATGATAAAATGATCAATTTTAAGTTGGATACTGGATCGCAAGTTAATACTATTAGTTTGGATATGTTTAAAAGCCTAGGAAAGAAATTTAAGATCGAAAAGAGTAATTTAAAGTTACAAGGCTATTTTGGTGAAATTAATCACACTATTGCGAAGACAGTTCTTCCAATTAAAATAAATAATGATGTGTGTCATGAGGAATTTATAATCATTGATATAAAAACGGTACCTTTATTAGGCTTAGAGTCCTGTGTAAATCTAAAACTCATATCTCGTATAGATTCATTGCACTTGAACCAATTGTTGTGTTCAGAAAAGCAAAAGAATAATCTTACAGATTATTATGAAAAAGCTTTTGCAGGTCTAGGAAAGTTTGATAAACCTTTAAAATTAAAATTAGAAGAAAATTCAATTCCGGTGGCGAATCAGAATCGTCGAATTCCATTTAAGTTGAAGAATAAGCTTCAGAATAAATTAATTGAAATGGAAAGAACAGAAATCATTTCACGTGTCAGTGAACAGCGTGAATAGATTAATAGTATCGTAGTTGTTAAAAAAGGAGATAAAATAAGAATTTGTATTGATCCAAAGTATTTGAATCAAGCATTGAATAAGTTTCACTTTCCGATACCATCTCTTGATGAATTAAAACAAGATTTAAAATATTCTCAGTATTTTACGGTTTTAGACCTCAAAGATGGTTTCTGGCATATAGAATTAGACGAAGAATCCAAAAAGTTGTGTACGTTTAGTGTACGTTTAGTCGCTTTGTGGCAATTCCATCGAATGCCTTTTGGGATAAATATTGCATCAGAAATCTTCCAAAAGTACATGACAGATAATTTTGGCGATTTACCTGGAGTCAAATTTTATATTGATGATATCATTGTTACTGGTAAAACGCTTAAAGAACATGACGAGAATTTAGGAAGATTAATGGCCAGGGCATTAAAGTCAGGTGTAAAGTTCAATCAGAAAAAATTACAATTCACACAAAGCTCAGTAAAATTCTTTGGCCATATCTTTTCTGAGAATAAAGTAGATGTTGATCCAGAAAGGATTTCAGCAATTAGCAATATAGGAAGTTTTTAGGAGTAGTCAATTATATCAGGGATTTCATTCCCAATGTACCTTCTTTAACAGTAAATATACGTAATTTATTGAAAATGGACAGTGAATTTTTATGATTGACAATCATCAAGCTGAATTTGAAAACATCAGAGAAGTAATAAAAAATGTCACGTCATGTACAACATTTGATGAAAATATGCCAATAATTTTAGAAACTGATGCTTCGTCATACGGTTTAGAGGAATGTTTAAAACAAGGAAGTAAAATTATTAGCTTTGCTTCGCGTTGTCTGTCAGATACAGAAAAGGAGTATGGTCAGATTGAAAAAGAATTTTTAGGCGTTTTTTTTGCATGCAAAAAGTTTCACAATTATATTTATGGCAGAAAAGTTACTGTCATATCTGACCATCGTCCTCTTGAAAGCATAATTAATAAACAAAGCGTCGCCAAACAGAAGAACGTCGATAGATTGAGTGAAAACTCAACAAAAAAAATCCAAAAGTTTCCGACAAAAAAAAATTTAAATAGCCATCTCGAAAGCAGATGATATATGTGACAATGTTTAAACAAGTTTAAACTTGCAACGAATTTTATTTGTGTAGTAGTGCTTGTAAAATTTAAGTTCAGTCAAATTTTTGAGTTTGTAATGAATAGAATGAATTTATTGAAAAATAAACTCATAATTGTGGCGCGTTTTTCTTCATTATTGTACGTCGCATTCACAACATTTTATTTTACGTATCAATACTACAAAATTGACAGCGAAATCTCTTTTTTTGAGCCATTCGTGTCTTTTTCAGCTTGGAATTTTGTAAGTTATGAAATGATTTACTTTAAATCAATTATCTCAAAGTTTTTAAATTTCTTTAAAAACATTTTGTTTTTTCAATTGTAGGCTTTTTTAGGAATTTTTTGTGCATTAGCATCTGCCAAAGAAATAATATGCCAAAAATATGTTGAAAAGCTTCAATTTATTTTAGACAAATTATATTTTGGTCTTTTATTTCCATCAACTCTTTCTGTTATTGTGATTTTTTGGCCAGCATTTACCTACAAGCCATTGTTTGTGATGAACAAAAGAATAGAAGATTTCAACTGTTCAATATCAAATACTTTATTACATACTGTAATTTTAGTTCCAGTTGCCTTTGAAATTATTTTTATTCCAAGAATTCTTTTTAATAAGATATTTTATTTTAAATTATTAGCTTTCATGTATTTTTTATACACCATAGTCTTCTTTTTTCATCAATTTATAATGGGCGAATATTTTTATCCAGCATGTAATGATATGAATATTTTTCAAATAATGTTAATGAAAACAGGAATTTTTTTGGTGCTGTATTTTATGCAAAATTTTGGATTTTTACTTCACGAAAAAATTTGGAAAAATTAAAATTAGTACGGTATCTTTTATTGATTCAAACGGTATTCAAATTTAATTTTAAATACATGAATTTTCAAAAGACATAATATTTCTCAAGTCCTTACTTTAACCTGTATTTCCGTTACTACGGTATTTATTTATTCTACCAAATGTCTGATAACGCTACTGAATTTAAATAAAATAATAGAAACATTGTTACGCCATTTCTTATTTACTCTTTTTACGTTTTATCATTGTGTATTGTTTTCGATACAATTATTTTTGGAGTTTCAGTTGTAATCGGACAAAGAATGTATTAAGTAATGAAAAATAAAATAATTTTTTTGTTTTTGTTGTTTTTGGGCACATCTTTGAGTGCTAATATCTTATCGATTCAGATGGTGCCTTTTTACAGCCACCAAGTGATTCATCATAAACTATTAAAAGAATTAAGTTTGAGAGGACACAATTTGACAGTTTTTTCAACACATCTTATGAATTTTAATGGATTAAATGTCACTCAATATGTGTTTCCGAGACCAAAAGAAAAGGAACTAGCAAAGTTAAAGCTCTTTGAAAGTAAATCAAAAGAAATAAGCAAAGAAGAATTTTATTTAATTAATCTTTTTGGTGCAACTTTTGATGCAACAAAGAAAGAACTTGAACACACAAAGATTCGAGAACTTATGTCTATGCAATCGGATACAAAATTTGATCTTTTGATCATAGAGTGCGGTTTCTGTTCATTGATAGTGTTAGCAGAAATTTATAATTGTCCAATTGTTAATATCTATGCGGCAGATCCTACAAATAAGGCGCATGAACTAATCGGAAATTATGTAAATTCAGGTCTACATCCAGAAATTTACGCAGAACTAATTGGAGGTGAAAATTTAAATTTTTTAAAACGACTCCAGTCATTAGTAATCGAAAACTTTAATGTTAAAGTTCTAAAGACAATTAACATTAGAATAAGTCAATTTTTACTGGATTTAATATATCCAAACCTAAAATTTCCTGACTTACATGAGATTATGATCAACCGACTTGCTATTCTTATTTCTGGTGAATCAATAATGACCACTAAAGTACGCCCAACAGTTCCAAACTATCATCAAATCGGTTTTATCCATGTTGAGTCGCCAAAAAAACTAAAAGATGAAAGTTTATGTAAGTTTCTGGACAAATCAACAAATGGAGTTATTGTTGTGTCGTTTGGTACCATTGCTGTTGACTTTCCCGGCCATTTTTATGCCCGATTTATTGAAGTCTTTAAAGAACTTCCATTCAATTTTATTTGGAAGGCAGATTTGGAAAAGTTCAAGTATTTAATTTTTCCGGAAAACATTTTGTTGTTAAATTGGCTTCCACTTGCTGATATTTTAGCCCATCCAAATATCAAAATCATCATATCACAAGGAGGATTGCGGACAATTGAAGAAGCCATTGATCGAGAAATTCCAATGATTTTAATACCAATAAATTTTGATCAGCCTTTCAATGCTGTATTACAAACAAAAAATAAAATTGCTTTTAATTTGGACTTAAATGTTTTCACAAAAGAAGATTTGAAGGAAGCAATAATGGAAATGATGAAACCTCAATACAAAGAAAACATTAAGTGTGTAAAATCGTTAGTTTACGATAAAATATCAACGAGACTCGATGGAGTTGCAGACAATATTGAACAACTGATCAAACATAATGAAACATTCCATTATCAGATGTATAACAGAAGACTCACATCTGATCATTCTGAAATAATGAATGACTTTTTTTTCATGATCGGAAGATTTGTAACTTTATTTAAAACAGTGTTTAATTTTTTTTTGACTTAAAATAAAATAGTTCTTTGAAATAACCAAATATTAACATTATTATTATTATTATTATTATTATTATTATTATATTTATTATGGTCCGTATTTAAATTAAAGGACCTTCAAATATTAACATCTATGTAGTATTATTATTATTAAGCTGAATGAATTCAGAAACCAAAGAGAAATCAATCTCTATATCATTTCTTTTTCCATTGCCCATACTCCTACAAAAAAGTATAACAATGTAGCACTGAATTTAAATCTTTTTAATTCTTTTAAACTTACAAAACTGCTGAAGATTTTTGTTTTTGGAATGAAATTCCAACATTGTACCCAAACTCAACGTAGCTCTATGTCGGAGGGTGAATTACAATATCATAAAAAAAGGTGTAAAAATGATGAATGAAAAAGATGTTTAAATAATTTTAATAATTTTTAATAGTTTTCACTAATCATTGATATAAAATATGTATATCAAAAAAAAAATATCAGCGGCGTATCTAAAAATCTTTAACAGAGGAATTACAAATTTTTTGTTCAAAAAAATTATATTTTTTATCCAAAAACAATTTCTTAATTTATTCATCTGAAATTGCGCAACAGTGTTACTAAAACCTTTAATACTTCTTAATTCTATATTATGTTCGCTAGCTCAGTATGTAGCGCATAATCTTCACTGAGCAGTTGTGTGTCAAGCAGCCAATTGAAAAACTCTTTAGATCTTAGATCTTAAAGCTCGTTCCAATTTTTAAGTTCACAATGTCCTAAGAAGAACCTAGGCACCTGAAATTAAGAAGCTGAAATATCTATACCCATCTAAATTTCTGAAAAATTACTAAAATGGTGGTGGGATTTTAACCCATGAGTCCAAGTTCAACACCAAATTTTGTGACCTGTACCTTGCCAACTGAGCTATCAAGGCACTTTTTTTTCTTTTTGATTTCATAAAATTTTGTTTTTTTTTTTCAAATTTCACAATTACTCTTCAGGTTTATTTTTAGAAAACTTTGATCATCCTCAATGCACTTAAATCATAAAAAAAGTCTGTAATGAAAATTCGTCATCACATCATTTCAACACATATTCTTCTTACAATTTTTTATCTCTGTTGATAAATTATATGTACAATCATAAGGCATTTCAATTCCTTTACATCTTTTTTTCTACATTTGGATTTATTCAAGCATTCAGACGTATTGATTTTCATTAATGAAAAGTAAAATTTTCAATTTTCACAGTATATTGAACATTCAAACATTGAAAAAGGAAAATGTTATTCATATTGAAATGATCATATCAACTCGTGCATGAATGAAAAACATTATTATGTTTTCGCATGATAAAATAAATCATGTTTTTATTGCAAATTTATTTAAATTTATAGCGCATTTTTGAAAACTTGTTTTCAAAAAAGTAGCCTAATATCTCACTTTGTTTGAGTCAGTTCGATCAGGGTTAATAAAAACTTTTAAACCAGACATCGGTGAAAACTCGCGTTTGTTTTATTAGCTTCGTTACTACTGATACAATGGGCGATGAATACGTTTAGTAATTTGATTTTTTTTTCTACCGTTCATAAAAGCGTTAATTGTTTAATTTTTCTAAAAACATAAATTCATCATAATACATACGTTATAAATTACACGTGATTTTTTCTTTAGCGTGTAAACTTTATAAAATAATGCGTATTTGGCTAACCCAATACTGAATGCTGCGATAAATATGCGCTGAAGTCTCTTGATCACTTCTTTATCAACTTATTTATCAATTTGCAATTTGGAAATTTTAAAAAGAAATGGAATAAATTTAATGATGTGCTCGAGGAATTGTATAAATTTTTGTTCGGAATTAAATCTTAATGATTCTACGTTTTTCTACCTGATTTCATAGGTTTATTTTTTTTTCCTTAAAAATATATATTAATTTTCATTTCATTGAAAAAGTTTTCAATTGTTTTCATAGTTTCTGTTGGGCTTTAAAAAAATTTCATATCCTTCCAGTTCAAATTCTAGCAGATAATGTTCAAACTTTTATCTCTTTAAAGTCTTATTCAAAAAACTTTAACTATAATAATTTTTAGATAAGACTTAATACTACCAAAATATGCACATAGACATAGATAGATTTTAACGTTCTTTCATATTTACTTACCAAATTAATTAGAAGATCGTATCAAAATTTTGGTTTGCTATCAGCTTAATTTGTTAATAATATTATGGGAAAATGTAAATGTAAATATTATAGCTCATTAATTCAGAAAATGTTATCATTTTGAGTGTAATCAATAAAATATTAATTAATTGATTCATAAAGAAAAATAATTGAGTCCTATTTAAGTAAATACTTTTCATGAGAATGGGTGTTATTCAGTGCTTCAAGTGCGATGTGATTGGGTAGTATTTACTGATATTTTTGGAATACATGAAGAAGTTTATTGATCTTGAAGAGGTACTTGAGTGTCTCTGTGGTACGAGTTTGAGGAACTTAACAAGATTCAAGTTCTGAAAATTAATTTGTATAACTTTTGACTTTTAAATTTTTGAAATGATAAATTATTTAGTGATGTTTTTCCTAGTATTGCAATAACTAGTTCCTTTCAATATAATTCGAAAAAAAAGATATTTTTGTGAAATACGCTTCAAGATATGCAACCAGTACAAATGCTTTCAAATATAAATCATGATTTGAGACAAATAATTTAAAGTCTTTACTTGCTCAAAAAATTTAATATAAATACAAATTTTTATAATTCTAAAATACTACAAGTTATCGTACATAAAGCCCCTATGTTTCTCAAAATAATTAAAAAACATGTAGCAAATTCTGGTCTAGTTAAAGTTGAACTACAATACATGAAAACTTTTTTGAAATTCTGCTACAAATTTATTGAATTTTCTACAACGCAAAAATCCGGCTAAGTTTTCTTTTCTGTGCAAAGCCTGAAAGCTTGTATATCTTCTATTTTTATAAGACTTAAAAAACAATAGTTAATACTCTCTGTGTACTGCCTGCAAATAATTTAACTCATTTTTCAAAAAATTATTCTACTGTAAATAAAAATAATTCTTCTCAATTCCATCCTCATCGTCTTCCTCACATGTTTGTCAAAGGCGCATTTTAATGATACAAAATAAAAATATAGAGAAATCAAATTAAAAAAAAATTATAAGTAAATTATCACAATTATTTGAGTCTTCGAATAAGAAATCTTAAAAAAAAAACAATTCAAAAATCTAAATCATGATGTCGTTGATGTTATTGTGAGCGTTTCCATTATCTATTGTTTACGATTTAATTAATTAACATAAATCACTGCCGTTCTCGCAAAATTAATGCTTAACAATTCATCTCTTTTTTTGTTCTTTTTCTCTCTTTTCAAAACCACTCAAACTTCCTGCCATCATTGTCATTAATTGTTGCACGACTACACACATTAACAGGATCGGCGAGAGTGGTGATTGGGACCAACTGCCTCAAATTTACGCAAATAGCAGCATCACGTCTTATCAGATGACAGAATTGAGGCCGTTTACGATCTACAGTTTTCGTGTTCTTGCTGTTAATAGTTTAGGAATAAGTCCGCCTTCAAAAGAGTCTTATTACATAGTTACGTTAAGAGAAGGTAAGTCGAACAATAAGTTTGAATTTGACGAAGATGAAAAGAAAACAGTTGAAATAAATTGAATAATAAATTAGCTTTGGTGAAATAATGATGAGGGTAACTGATGGATTATAATCAGGAGATTATTTTTTCCAATTTTATTATTTTATTTTATTTTTGGAAATGATTAATTGTATTTTTTTTGAAGTACGCGTAAGAATGATAGTTCGGGGAAATTATTTATTAATAAGATAAACAGACTATATAATATCTGGGAAACAATTTGGGTTAAGATAGCATGGGATGGTAGAGTCGCAATTTTCTGTGACATCTTAAAAAATTCTGCGAGTAATTTAAAAAAAAATGCATTTAAAATTTTTTAATCAGTATTAGCAAGAAAAGTTGATTTTACAATTTTCTTCCTTCTTCATAAAATTACGACAACTGCAAACGTTTTAAAATTCAAATTCAAAACTCTTTCTTTTTATCTCTACTTTATGATAGAAATTATACTCTTTATATGCTTTATGCTTATGATTCGTTATCACAAAATTATAACGTCAATAGCATTCTTGAGTCTACTTCTTCATGTTGTTCCTGGTTTTTAAAGAGTACAATTTTTTTTTGTTATAACTTTACTTTATGCAATTTACATATCACTTTATCGCAACCTCCACGAAAAACTCATTTCTATCCATAAAAAAAAAAAAAGATATTAAGGATTCCTCACTATAGAATTTTTTGTAATATCATAAAAAAATTCTTGTGCGTTCCCTGCTTTATAAAATTGTCATAATCCCTCCCGACATTATACATAAACTCTCAATTTTCATTCCTTTGTATCACACTATATGGAAAAGACACAACAAAAAATAACCGAAATGTTATGATGATAGAAGAAAGAACGATAGGAAGTAAATGTAATGATGATAGGCTATGTAAATTGATAAGAATTTAGAGATGAGAAAGGACATATGAACGCATCTTTTAGTAAGCAAAGGTTATGCTGATTTCGTAAAGTTTAAAATTTAGAAATCTAAACGTATTTCATCATTCGTCTACTAAAATCTTAGGCAATGTTAGCTGGTTTGGACCAATTTTAATTACAACTTAATTATCCTCCATGCTATGCCACAGACTCTCTTACCAGAAATATTACATAATGACTTCTTTGAATAATGCATGGCAGTTTTAAATCTAATCATATTCACCTAGTCAGCCAAATTTCAACCATCCAGACATAGTAAAACCTAAGGAAAGTCACAAAACGCGTATTGTATGTGAAAATTTTTAAGATGAAATTTTATTGTTTTTTACAACCCCAATTTGTTAAAAGAACAAATTTTCATCTCATTTCATCCCATATATGCATATCTAACATTTACTTATTGCAAGAAAGAATGGAAAATATTCAAATTTAAAGCCGATAAAAAGCTCGAAACTTTTGCATAATATGCAAACACAAAAAGAGTTGAGATGGAGACTAAATCAAGAGTAAAAGATGAGAGTACAAAATGTACAGAAAGCAGACGAAGGAAAAATTGTAGAGGTTCTGAAGAAGGGATTAGCTATTGATTTTTTGGGGTTTTAAAACACTTATGCTGAGTGGGAAGCAGGTTGAGAGGTTAAATAACGCACTTAAAATCAAACACCAGCCTTTAGGTCAGTATCTTAGTTATTTTAGTGTAAGAACTGAATAAAGAGGTTTAGCACGACCTGTCTTCTATAAACACGCAATGTGGAGTTATTCGATACACTTTTGAAACAAAGAAACAAAGAATATTTGAACCGTAAAATAGTTAACACCAAAACCCCTTTCTTCTGGCTATGCCCCTACTAGGTCATTCACTTTTCATATTTAATTCTATTAACTAAATATAAGACAACGTTGGCTTTAAATTTCAGAATATCCACTTCTCTGAAGTAGGGCTAAAAATTTTTCGTCCTTTGAATATTTTTGTGATGTTGATTTGAACCCCAAACAAGAACAGCAGCAACAATAATAATAAAAGAATAGATATGAAATATTAGATGATGAAACACAAGAAGGGGAAAGGCATTTAGATGAGAGAGAAAGTCTGAGAGATTTGAGAATGCAAATTTTCAAAGGCAGAAAAAATCATTGTGATGGAAAAATATGAATTTACAATTTTCATAAAATCCAAAAAAAAATTCTTTTGATTACTCATAACGCTTCCCCTCTTAGAGTTTTTCTTTTTAAGCATGTTTTGAAGTGAATCGGATGTTAGTAATGCACTCATTTTGGATGGTAAGTTGGCTGAAAATTTGAGTTTAAAACAAACGTTTTAAAATTTTTTATTGAACTTCTTAAAGTTTTAATTCCAAAAACATTAAAAATTATGATTTTCAGCTTTATTACAACCAAAAATGCGTTCTAGCCTCCCAATCGCAAGCAAAATAGATTTCCCTATTTTATGGAAAAGGAACAAAACTGCACACAATGAGAAGAGCAGCAGAGCACTTGAGAGTTTTCAACAATTGTTTGTGGAAGAATTTTTCCATTTTGAAATTCCATTAAAATTCATTTGCCTGCTCGTTTACATGGCAATGTTTTATTATTCTCTTTTCTCTGCCACTTTACTGCTATCTACTACATGATTGCGGATAGAAATTGATTTACATCTGGAATAAAAAGCAGGAGAATAAATTTTTTTATTCTTAAAAAAAGGAATTTTTTCATATTTTTCTTTGAATGTATTTTTAAATCAAAATTTAATATTAATCTGGAAGCATTGATGTTCAGTGAATAAAAAAAACACACTAGATATGCGGACTAAAAGTCAGCAAAGAATTTCTAAGTGATTTTTCGCTGAAAAAATATTTCTTTTGTTTGAAATGATTTTGGTTGTTTTACAAACGATGAATGGACTTAAAAGTGATAATTTTCGAGAAAAAAAAGCAATTCCCATTAGCATCAGCTGCTTCTCGACTCAACATAATATTCATTGAATTAGAATTAATGATTACTTTTCAATCATGAATTCTTAATTAACTTACAATAAGGATAAAAGTTTTGCAGCAGACGAAGTTTCTTGTACTTAATTGGGTCTAGAAACTCATGACTTTTTAGTTGGAAGCTTCATTCTTAGAAATGTCACATTATTTTTAGGCAAACTAAAGCACTAAAGCACCATCCTCAAAAAGAAGCTCAAAAAGTAAAATAGTTTCCATTCCTTGATAGTTTCCAAATATTTATCTAAATGGCGCCACAGTTTTCTGGTCTGAATAAGATGAAAAATGTGCTTAGTTGGAAATTTAAACTTTGTATGATTAATTAGCAAATAATTACATAAGCTAGTCGAAAAAATCTTATTAAAGCAGCTCTGAGCTGTTTTATAAAAAAACATTGTTTATTGAAAAATTTAAGAGCAGACAAAAAATGAATGTAAATATTTAAATGCTTAAAAATAAATTGATGCTTTGTTGCCTGTGGATAATAGTAGTTTTTAAAGAGAGAATGTTCAGCAGGGATGGTGAAAGGTTAATATTTTTTTTAGAAATTATGAGATTTTTTGTCATATCTGTAACAATCAAAAAATAGGGTTTTAGATTCTTGGTACGTGCCTAGCCACTCTCCCACAGAGGCCTTCTTGTTGTTTTTATATCCTTGAAAAAACATTGCGGACGAAACATTATCTTTTACCTACCAAGGTCTTTTTTTCTTTTGTAGAAATTCCCAATTTCTCTTATTAAAATCAATTAATGATATTAAACTAGGGGGAAAATCACTTGATAGAAAAAACTTCATCAACTTCCTTTAATTTCCGATCAAAAATTTTTTTTTCACCAATTGATTTCCTTACTGCATTAAACACAAATTTTACAACTCTGAAAGCAATTTATTGTTTTTCATTCCTCAATTAAGTGTACAACATATTTGGCGCATCAGCTGAAAAATGTTTTCTTTTTTTCTTGCTTTTATTATCAATCAGTCGATAAATATCTGTAATTTAAAACCCGTAGATAAGTATTGAGAGAGAAAAATTGCATTAAAAGTTGAACAAACAGTTTTTCTTTCCATCATAGAAAATAAAATCAAATAGTAGAAAAATTTAAAATTCCATACAATCAGCAGAGTAGTTTATGGCAATGATAGCATAACTAGAGAAAAAAGCGGAGTAAAAATTTCATAAATTGTCAAACATTTCATAAAGAATGAAACGAAAAATTGAAATGAGAAAAGAAGATATCAAAAAGTCAGTGCCTTCTGACTTCTGTTTTGTTTGCAATTGATGAGGCTAACTAGTTGTATTTTTCAGAACTTAAAACATGTTAAAAAAAATTGTATACAGTTTCTACTAGAAAACCTTCAAAATGTTCCCATTAATATTACTCAATACCGTCCTTAAAATATTTTACACCATGGATTCAACAATCATAAAATAGGATAAATCTTCTATCTCTCTGTAGATTGTTTTTTTTAAACTACCCAGAATTTTAGCGTAGCAGTGAATGGTAAAGAATGTGCTGAACAGAAGATAAAAATAAAAACAACTTTTAGAGTGAATGAAATGAGGGAATGAAAACAATCAAACTGTAAATGTTCACCAATCAAAAACTGTCTTGTTGAACAATTTTTATTTCTCGTTTTTGGGAAAAAAATCAAGCAGCAAAAGTTTAAAAAAAAGAAAACGGAAAATAACTTCTGATTGTGCAAACATCCATTTAAAGAAGAAGAAAATGGAAAATTCCAGTAGACGATAAGTAAAATTGAAATAAAAAATTTGATTGATGATATTAAGCGCAGTTTGGAGCAGAAAATAATATTTAACTATTTTCTAAGTTCAAAATTTTTGAAAATTCAATGTATGAACATTTAACAGCTTATTGAATTTAAATATCTCATAATTAAGCTAAAATCGGTAAAAAATTTAAACTTATAATACCGTTAAACCATTCTGTATTGTGGGTGCTTCAGACAGCCACTAATCTATATAAAGTGTAATGCTTAGTTATTTCTACTACAAAAAAAAATATGATACAACTGAATGAAGCAAATAAATCTCTTCGAAATAAAATTTAACTTGGTTTTTACAATTTCCTAGCTTCTGTATGAAGCACAATCAAGTAAAATTATTCAATTTACTACATTTATTGTCTCTCTTATTCTCGTTTTTACCATATTATAGTGCCAGCAGGAAAGCCAACTATAACGACCGCACACAATACTTCATCAAGCTCAATCTATTTGTCATGGAAACCACCACCACTTGATACAATTTTTGGTGAATTTCTTGGCTACAGGATCACATATCATGCTCGTGATGTGAAGCCGGAATATATTAATGAAATTTTCGTTCGTGACAGCAGCGTTGAAGTAAGTGTTACTTAATAAGCTCTTGTATGCATATATGTAATGGATAAATTCATGTTTGGTTTGCAATTTGAATGAAGATGAGTTTATTGTTTAATCAACTGGGATAATTTCTCGAAGCTTTAGAGTTATTTTTTGCAAATGAACAAGGATCGTTGAAAGTAATTAACTTTAACTGCTGTTTTTCAATTGTAATAAATTTAAAAAAAATTGGGATCTGGGCGCATCTAATTTGTAAAAAGGTTCGATTTCAAATCTAGACTGGAAATTTAATCGTATAAAATAATTGTTACTAAATTCATACACAAATTTTCAATTCCATTCAAGAAAGTCGTAAAAATTTATGTTCTTCATTTCTATCTACAAGTTTTTCTTCTTCCTCAAAAGTGGTACAAAAAGCCAAGTGGAAAACGAGTAGTAATTTAAATGCCTTTTGGTTTTTTATTGCAATTGGCAATCTTTTTTTTTCTCTTTGTACAGATGTACAGCAATCCAACTCGTTTCAATTTCTCACAAATTTACAGCACAACCCATAGAAAGAGATAAGTTAAAAATTTGTTGTTATTGAACGTAAGCCAAAAACTTTCCTATCTTTTTCATGTCCACATTTTTTAATGTACAGTTTAAGATTCGAAAAGATGTTGTTGGCTGATTGATTTGTCTGTATTTTTGAAATCATTAAATTTTTTAATCTTTTTTTAAAATTTTATTCGACCATTTCTTCTAATAATTTTTTATTCGTTTTGCTCCTGCAAGCTTCGTCTAGTCATGTAAATTGTACTCGTTTGTCCTGCCTTTCTTTTTTTGAAAATAAGAAAAGAAAGAGATTTTAAGTTGAGATGGAAGGAAGCAAGAAAAGTGATTGCATGTTCAACTTTCATTTGATTGCTAAAGCCACCATTTCATTGCCTTAAGGAATCATTCAAGTAACATCAGACCAAAGAACAGGACAAGGAAAAAAAGCAATAGTTGTTAAGAGAGAACAAAAACATCGTTTAAAGTATTTAAAGTTTAGCTTGAAATTCTTTTCTCTTCCCTTCATTCATGAAGACTAAACGGTAGTAGAAGAGAATGCAAAAATGTTTAAAGGTAGAGTAATGAGAATTTCTAAAATGTTTGCGAATATACATTTGATTCAACACATTTGTAGATTTAAAACTAATTCGTGTTCTTATAAAAATGCTTCAAGAAGTGTTACTTATATATTCTTATAAATTGACGAGAATTTTAAGATTTTTAACCATAATATTAATTAACAAAAAAATTATTTGATTATGTGAATGTGTTTTATTGAATTTTTAAACTTTTGCTTGCTTTTACAAGGGTTTCAAGATTTTTTATGTTAATTTAAAAAAAATGTATATTGACTGTTTTTAAAAATTTACATTTTTAAAAATTTCCGTTAGAAATCATAGCCATAAATAGTTGATAAATAATTTGAGCATAACTCATCATTTGAGTTCCAAACTTATATAATTTTCGTCGTATCTTTTCATACTTTGATGCATTCTCCCTTCATTCTCCAGCAAAAACTTATCTCTTAAACTTTTCTATTATGGTTTATGGTTCTTCTACAGTTTCTCGAGCACAATGGAAACAACATCTCATGTGAAGTGAGTCAGATGATAATTAACTGCAAATATTGGTGATGAATAGTGTAATAGCAAGCAACATTTTATAATTTTTTACACGCTAGTATGCAACCTCGTGTGAAAAATCTTTCATCTCTGATATTACTCTTTCAATATGACTTGGAACTAATGTTCGTGTTGCTTAATCGCATGCTGTGCAGTGCAAATTTTTACTGTATTCTTCAGTAAGCAAAAAGAAGCATATGTTTCGTGGCTCAACTTTTGCTTTATTTCTTCCGCTTTGGATGGGAAAATTTTATTAAATTGTGTTTTACTAAAGCTTAACTGCTGAACTTATGTGCTGCATAAACACAGCTTAAGCATTCATTTTAAGATTTTGGGAATAAATTCCTGTAAATTGTCAAAAAAAAACAACCTGAAATGTTACTTTGTTAACTTAGGACAGTCATGAGGCTTAGAGAATGATGCCATGGATTTATCAGATTGACTTGCAGACTATTTTGGCATATAAGATCTTCTTGATTCATGTCATATAACGCTCTAGCATTTAGGACAGTTATTGTATCTAGAATACTAACTCCATTTTTAAAAGTTTTGTGGCTATGTCCTGAAAAATTCATTGGTATGTTCCGCATCACGAAATACACACACGCAACCTAACAACTAGCCAATATTTTTTCTGCGGATGATATTACACATAGAATCATTTTTAATTTATTTTTGTTGGCCCCTGTAATCTGTGAGTAGATTAATGCTCTTAACTTTTTTCGAGTCTGACAAACAAGCAAAAAACAGTGTATTTCTTTCTTTTTTTCTCTCATCCTGTCCATTATTATATTTCATTATTTATATCTACTTAAGTGCGAGGCTGAAAAGGCATGTATGCGAAAATAATAAAAGGAAAATAATAAACGAGAGTGACTTTCATGATGTCTTCTTGCTTTTATGACTTTATTTTTACTATTCATTCTTCTTCCCTCTTTTCTATTTACAGAATCATGAAATTCACGATCTTGATACTTATACACAGTATCTGATATCAATTCATGTATTTAATCCTGAAGGGATCGGTCCTGCAACAAATATCGGAGTAATGACAGATGAAGGCGGTAAGTAAAAAGCTTTTCATCACTTTATCAAGATTGTTTCTTTAGTTCTCGTCATCACAATAATAAAAGTCATAAAGAAATGATATTGTTCTGTTAAGTTGAAGGGATGTTTCCTCATAAAACTAAATTCCTGAACTAAATTCCTAAACTATAAATAAGTTTAATTTAATAGAAATCAAGATAAAATTTATAAAAATATTCTCTATTTGTCAAAAATAAAAATTTCATGTGTTTAAATCACTCAGAATGTACAGTTTCATGTCGTACATGAAGAGATTCACATCTCTCTAAAACATATTTGCTCCAATAACTCATTCTCCCATCATAATTCAAAATTTTTCATCAGAACTGCTTCACTGATGTATTTTAATATTTAAAGCCGATTTCAAAATGGTTTATAATTCAGACATCAAGTGATGCATACAAAATGGATTATAATGAATAAAATAACAATTGAAGTGAGAATGATAAGCGTTGTGAAATTATTTCAACAGATGTGAAATCTACGTGGGTCTTCTGGCAAATTCACCGTGTTTCCATGGCACCTGTAAGATGAAAAATATTTCATTGACGAAGGAACTGAAAGAGCTTTTCGAATATCACAAATAAGCAACTTTTCAATAACTTTAAGTGAAATTGACTTTAAAATGTCAATTTTATCAGTAAATTTAAAATATCCAATTAAAATGTCTTTAAAGTTGATTTGATTGAATTTTCGTTTCCTTAGTGACTAGAAATGAAATTTATTCTGCTTCTTAAACCAGGAAAAAAGCATTTTATGGGTTTTAAAAGGAAAAAATTCTTAAATTTTTTAAGAGTTTAAATTTTTTAAATGCGCTTCAGATGTTTATCAAGTATTACATTAACATAATAAGAATAAAATAAATAAATCAATGTTTTGATTAGAAAAATTGTCTTGATTAGTTGAGGACCCAACTTCAATCCGGTCTTCAAAATACTTGGTTTTGTTAACAACAAAAATTATTCGGTTGTTTTAACCGAAAAAGCAAGCAAATGAGTTATTTTATGATATAAAATTTATTTACCATATTAATTTAAACCCAAGAAGACTTTTGACTAATTCAAAGAAAAGAACAACAGGACATGATTAAAATGAATAATTATTAATCAAAACTTGCAAAAAATAGTTTTAATTCTAAGAAATCATGTTATTAATGTCAACATTCAGTATGGAAACGATTCTGAAATTATTAAAATGACATAGTAGCATACCACGTGGCCTCAAATGGATAAATGCTATCCATTAAGATGACAAAGCGGATAACAAAGATTACTGTTACCAGTGGTCTAACCAGCACATTCGTAGACAATCCTTTAAACTGTTTACCTAACCACAAGTCTCTGACCTTTTTGTATGCCCTCGAGGCTTTTCTGAAAAGGATCAGTCTTCGATTTCGTTTATCGAACAAACGTTACTTTTTTCATTCCTTTATGAAAATTTGTATTATAAATGATCCTTCTAGTATGAACCAACATTTTTTATGGAACATGTAAACTGTTTGTTCAGCTTTTTTGTACTGAACAGTGTTTGTAAATACTTAAACATCTTTAGATTTGGTTTTGTGATGGTTAAAGGGTGGATGGGGAGATTGTGTGGATAATCAGCAGTTATTAAAAAATTTTGGAGATTTTTTTTGCCTTTTTTTATCTAATGATTAAGAGTAAAATTCAAACGCGTCTACGCAATTAAAATTTTTATGGAACACCAAATAACTTGTTTAACTCATTATTATCACCAATAATTAACAATAAATTAGTGAATATATATTTAAAATTTAAGTAAAGGAATATTTTAAGAGTCTTATGATCTGAATAAATTGAATTAAATATTAAAAGCTAGTCATATGACTCTATCTTATATCTTTTTGTTTATGCATACCTTAATTTTCATTTTGTAAACCACACAAGAGAGCAAGCAAACAAACATAAATTTTGTCTAAAGTAGCTTAAAAACAACTTTTTTTAATAAAGACGGCAAAAGATATTTTTTAATTTTGCCGTCATCGTGATGAAATTTCTACATTCATATCTACCAAAATACACTCATTTGTCTCTTACTTGTTTTGTGCTCGGTTTTTTTATTCGTTGATTCATTATATTTCCTATTTTACTTTCTCCAACCCTTCTTATTTAATACATTGAGTATGTTTGTATGTCTCGTGTGTTGTTTATTTTTCTCGCAGGCATAAAAGCTTTACAAAAAATAAGACACACACTCTTCCATTTTTTGTTTTGTATAGATGTAGTAGGTTAGAGGATCTTAAGGTTTAATACAATTTTGGCAAGAATATTTTAAATTTTTTGACTGCTATTATTTTAAAAAAAAATTTGGTTATTAATTTTTAATAAATGTGTTAACCATTATATATTCACAATTTACCCAGTCCCGTAAAAAACCTCCAAAAATAATACACATAATTGAATTGGAGAAATGGCAAAATAATGAAACAAAACGAGTCATTGTGTATTGTTTTTATTTTTTTCTCTTCTATTCCTTTCATTTCCGTCGTCGAACATAACAATGGCACTGTTTTTTAATGGCTGGCAAAAAGCTGAAAGGCATTTTTGTATTCTTATTTTGAAAATATATTTAGACTCAATTCTATTGTTATTTTCCTCTGATATAGCATCAGTAATGATACTTGATTTATAATTCCAACATACTATGACTTACTATATTTTCATTCATTTATTCATTTATATTTTCATTTCTACTTTGATAAATGTGGATATGTCATGAATGTATATATGAGAAGCATGAGATGCTTGTTTGTTTTTCATATGAAGACACAAAAGCGTTTCTTTTTGAATGGTAAATGACACGATTGTATGGAAAAAGTTATTCATTTGGATTAAAGTACAGCGAGCGAATTCAAAATGATTAAATTGAGATATTTGAAATAACTCTTCAGAATTTTTATAGAGCTTTAGTTAACGCTAAACATTAATGTTTGTCAAACTTGCTCGAAACTTGCTTTTGAATAGAAATTCCTTTTGCCGAAATTTTAAAAATCTAGAAATATCATCAAAACAGACTATATAGAAAATTCTTAAAAACCTTTTCTCTAAGGTCTATCTCAGTATACTTGTAAAAACTAGATCCGAGGAACGGCCCCTGGTGTTCGATAGATTGAAAATTTGAAATTTTTAATAAAGCGTTAAATAAGGCATTGAGAATCTTGTACTTCAAAAAAACATTGCAAAAATACGGCAACTCATATTTTTAAGAAATTCTCTTCAAATCGCATAAAAAATCAGCACATTAAAGACCCAATGTATTGTATGTGAATGATTATGACTGCACATGAATATTGCATAATTATTTAATGTATTAACTGGGAAGCAACATTCATAAATGGAATTAATTTCTCATAAGCACACAGCTTGAGATAACGAACATTCATAAATTTTCTTCAACCACACTCACATTTATAGACACCAGAAAAAGAACTAGCTTATATAGAATGAAAAAAAGAAGATAGAATTGTGGGAAGGACTCGAAGTTTCAACCGCAAAACTTTCACTTTACAATAATAACAGCTACATATAAGTATGATTGCCATATATTCGCATATATACACGAAAAAATTTGTGCTTTATGCTTTTTGGAAATAATGAATCCATATAGACTTACTCTGTGTAAAGAGCTATTTAAGTAACTATAAACGATTTGTTTTTATAGCAGAAAGTACAGAAAGAGCGAGCATCAAGGATTTGACACTTCAATATTATAAAATCCTTCCTGTATGTAGCATGTTATCAAAACTTTTTGAGTTTATGAGATCGAAACAATTTACAAAATTAAAAGTTCACATATTTAGGACTTTCAACCGAAACTTAACCAGACCTTTATCTCATGTATACTATATCTATGAAAGCTTAATCAACCAAACCCATTAAATATACTTTAGCAATGTTATTAAAGATTCCTTTTCCCAATCGTCTAGACCTTCCGATCGGAAAATATTCTCCTTTATGCTCTTAAATGTGTAAAGTTTTGTTAAACTATCTACATTAATTTCCATCCACCCTCCAATTATACAGCTCACAACTCATTCCAACGTAGAAGTGCGGAAACAAAGAATATTTCTATTCGCATATATATAGCTCTTATTTCCATCTCACTTTATGGAATTGGTTTTTAGAAAATTGGTAATTTCTGATTTTGATACTTTATTTCTATCTTTGTCTCTCGCTTACTCTCAATATAGATACCACACAATTCATAGCAGATACAACGATGTACATAAACTCATTTTCATTTTATAAATGTTTTGATTAAATTTTGCTGATATTCAACATAATATCGAACGTAAATACTATGTGTGCGAATGAAGGGTGCCTTTTTGCTTTTATGTACGAATGCTCATACATATTCCCTTAGAAATTCTTGATTATGAAAGTTCCATTGCAAATTTATATGGAAATATGATATAGGAGCCGTCTTGATAAATTAGACATAATATCTATGATGATTTTATTCTATAGCTTTATGCCAAAGACTTTTGCTGAGAAATACAGGATTTATTAGGGATGGTTTGCTAATGACGTATGGGGGGTGTCAAGAAGTATGTAACGTTCTAACTGTCGTCTGTCTTTTAAAAAAATTTATAAAAATTATCAAAATAAAATAAATTATGAACGTTCAGGGGGGGGGGGGGGGTGAAACGAGTCGTTTTTTTGCGTAACGTAATAAGTGAACGGCCCCTAGATGGTTTACCAAAAAAAAAATTTTTACATTGCTGATTGATTTTACTTAATTATCAGTCTGTAAATTTAATAAGTATTTGAATTTTCATTCGTAAAATCGATACAGTCTGCATTTGATGAGCAAACAAATAGAAAAATAAATGAAAACATTTACAAAAAAGCTTTTGAGTATAATATCCTCTTTTAAATTAATATTTTGTGAGTTCCTAGGCAAATTATTTTTTGAAGTGGTTTTGAGGTTTGAAATAAGAGTATATTGATTTTTTATA